ACGGACAATAGTCTTCCACAATAATAGTCACAAATAAGGTGGACCGACGACCTCATAAAGGTAGCAAGAAGGCGCTGGACGCAGGCCGCTACCAAGAAGTCATTATGGAAATCATTGGGGAGGCCAATGTTTAGCAAGAGACGTCCTATGGCTGAAACTGAAATGATGATGATGAAATATTAAACAACTAGCTTTCCGCCCGCGGCTTCGCCCGCGTGGAATTTTTCGGTTTTCCTATGACACTCAGCAATGATGTGACTTTCTATTGGTGAAAGAATTTTTAAAATTGGTTCAGTAGAACCCGAGATTACTCCTTACAATTTAACAAATATACAAACACACAAAACTTTACCTATTTATAATATTAGTATAAATAATTATGTTATACCCAAGATGATGTTTGACACTAGGATTATTACAACCCATATAATTATAGGTACAAAGAGGTAGGCTTCTCTAAAGATATCTATGCTGAATTATGATGATGCTCTACATACGTTTAACCTATTATTATTTATCCATAATCTAAGGCTTATATGTATTATAATCAATTAACTATATAAATAGATGACTGTTCACGCGCTATCTGCCAATTTTCCAATTTAAATCAGGCTTACTCGCCCTCTGTGCAGGCCAGTGGTTCCCAAACATAACGGATTACATTAAATATCAACCCGCCCCGGCTTCGCATGGGTGCAACGCTATTTATTTATAGGCACGCGCCGCCAGCCCCCATATAAACTTTCCACTTGAGTCATGAATCACTCTATATTTAAAAAAAGCCGCATCAAAATCCTAAGCTAAACATAGAGACAGACAGTGGAAAGCGACTTTGTTTTATAGTAGTGAAGATACATACCTACCTATTGTTTTAATACATCTAGCTTTAAACTAAATTAACTATACATTAGCCTTTAAAGCTTTTAGAGCTTATTTTTATCTTACCGTTGCTTTGCCTTGTAGCATTCACTGGTAGCCAAATAATGTTTACAATAATCATCTTAACCATAACCTTTCTTGAGGGAGATAATTCTCAATATTTCGGAGTCTTATTTTTTATTTGTTTCGTGTAGTAGCTATTATGCTCCCGAGGGTAACCAAAAATATTCAAGGATAAATCAATTTCACTGGGTTTTGTTCAGAGATCCCTCTAGGGGTTTCGCAGAGCAAACTTTGAGAACATCTGACCTAGATAATCTCTGGTGTTGTTTTCTTTACTTGATTGAATTTTAAATAAGGTAATCTCACAAGTGTTTTGTGGACGTATTCATGATTGGCGTTTAATAAATTACGAGATATCAATCAATTTCGTCTGATTTATTAACGTAGACCTGATTTCACGCTGCGCTTGATTTCCAAGATTTTACTGATAAAAGGCCGTCAGTAGCAAATTTTTAATAGTTTAAGTATGGTGTTTTGCATAATCCATTTGAATAATTCCTATAAAAGATTTTTTAAATTTTATTCCACATCTTTTACTAGCATAATTATAACTTATTGCTCATTGGAATTGGGTCATTAGAAGTGCTTAATTCCTTTCAAAAATCCTGAAAATTTTACCGAAAATGTGTCGGGCTATTTTAGACATCCTATTATTTTGTGTCCTATTAATCTTAGTAAACTGTTTAGTTTATTTCAGTTAAGAAGATTTTCTTAAGTAATCAAATTATAGTGACCATTACTTTTGCAACATTCTAAGGTCTAATATCTTAATTTCCCCTAATGATTTTTGTTCCCCCATTGATTGTTCCAGATTATAATTTAATGACGTCAAATCCTGACGTGATCGTAATTTTACTTTCCATATAACTCTCAATCGACACCCTGTATGATGTAGAGCCATAGCTATGGATTCCACACTGTATAACTGCTTAAATTGTAAGACTTAATTTGAATACGCTAGTGAGAAAAGCCATAAAGTATTGAGCATTGAGTATTGAGCTATTTGATTAGAACTTACTATAAAAGTCTTCCTTGATCTTTGTATGTACTAATATAGAATTAACTAATCAACTTGATGTCTGTCTGTGAACAAACATTAGTCTGCCTTGACCTTTGAAGCCGTAATAGTGCACCATTATTAAAATCGGTAAGTGTACTCATACTTAGACACAAGTAACATTAATATGTCTGTATGTAACATGAAAAAAACCGTGTTTTATTTAATTTTTTTGACATATTATGTTTGTTACACCTATTTTTACATTTTATAATAGGCTACTTTTAGTAAGAAGACAGGTTTCCGCGTTAAAAAATTAAAATATTGCAAAAAAACTAAATTAAATAAAGTTAACCTAAAAAATCCAGAGTTAAAATTCACGCAGGCCGTTTCAATCCCAACTATTACTAGTAGAAATCCACAAAATCAAATCTACAGACACAAAGCTAACTAATCAAAAAAAGGTACTAATTAATTAGATTTTTTTTTAATTTAGGCATTTTGTATTTCAGAGAGAGCGCGGCGCTATATCGGTTTACGCTTTGCTCTCTCCTATGTGATTTAGAATTATTTAATGCAATACATTATTTTAACAAGGGTATGGAAAAAGCAGCAAATATTAAGGGAAGAAATGCGAGCGATATATTTTTATTTGTAGAGCCTATAAAAATTCCGCGTGCATGGGTCGTAAAACCGTAATATTTTATGTGTTATATAAATCATACGCGTTATGGTATCATCATGTAAAAGCATCAGCTACCGATTAGAGTGTCATAAAAGTCAGATACTTCGGGTTACATATAGTAGATATATTATCTATATTACAAGTAGAAATAATATCTAAATTTACAAATAAACATACTCGCTGTCTGTTTGTTTTAGAGTATTTGAGATATATTGCTGAAACAAACTTGATGTTTTTATATTATTTTGACCCCAGATAAACAGCAAGAAAGGGACAAATCCGCCAAAAAACTTGAAGGTTCAGAAATAAGGGTTGAAATTTTGTAGAAACCCATCATTTTCCATGTTGGGAACATGACTTTTTTAACCAACTTAAAAAAAAGAGGAGGTTCTCAATTCGACTGTACCCATGTTTTTTATATTCATATGCTTTTCTTTACTGTTATGATGTGGGGATAACAGAGACACCGCGAATTCTTTTTGCTGATGCGTGACAAAAGCGAACTTTCACATCTCAATTATTATTGAGATAAGGTTTCTTATAACAGCAGATTACCGAAGGCATCCGGTTTTGAATTTACGATGGCAATAATAGTAATTCCGCGTTATTAGAACAGCATTATTTTCTCCCAAAGTACCAGCTTTATGGCGGAAGTTAATTTTGTTTATGTTGTATTCTGACACGGTTTTGGACAAAATTGCACTGTTTTCTTTTTAATTTGATGAATAAGTCAATGAAAATTTTCACTGAAATAAATTAAAGATAACTCAGCCTCAGATTGAAACGCTAATTTACATCAATAAAATTATATTGTGTGAGATCTTCTTAGCATTTAAAATGCAAAAATCTGAATAAATAATTAATTAATTCATTGAATACTTTCACAGACAAACTAATCAACAATCCAAATATTGATATTCAGCGAATTACTTGAAAGATTTATGTGTTTACTCAAAATAAAATAAACGCACAGAAACAGGCATTAACACAGCAAAAACATAATGCAAATCAAAACAACATGACTCATACAAACATCTAGGTAAAACCTACTTATAATACTCGTAAATAAAATATTCAACTTACGATCAAAACAATCCTATGCAAAACAAAAACATCAATACACAAATTCTGAATTCTCAAATCCACAAACCTAATTCACTTTCCACAAAAAACAATCGAACACAATTTGCTAATTCACAAAATACGATCTACTTCACGGATATTGACATCGTGATATTCTTAACGCGATCACACAAGCGTCGCTCGCTGCGGTCATAGTGGCACTGATGACCGACGTTCGCGATTGCGAGTACGACCTTATGACCGAGAGTTTTCACGTAGAGTTGTGAAGGAAAATTGTAATGCTAAGTATGTTTGGTGTCAAGAACATGGTAAAATATTACCATAACTTAATACTGTTAGATATTGCTTACTTATAAATACAGGAAGGACTGACAAAAGTAAAAGTACAGGATTAAATTAAGAAAGTGACTTTGAGTCAGTAAAATTAGATTAATTAGGTAATATTATTTTTGTGCAAAATCATAACTTTCACAAGCACTTACGAGTATCATACCAAAGTGTCGACGGTAGAGTTTGGTCTTTCTCTTCTCTATATGATTTTTAAAGGCTTAAGACTGTCCAGTGTCTTAAGCCAGACTATTGCATCAATGTTAAAGGAAAATATACTGACTAAAACCTATAGGTACAATTTGTTGCGATGTAGAGCTTTGAAGGTAATAGAGGCATAGAGTAGGAAAACGATGAACGCCTACACATTCACTTTAGTATTCAATATAAATAAGTTAGCAGTACCTAGCTACAAGTTTATTTTACTTATACATAAAGGTACCATTAATTTAGTGGCATGTACGAGTATAAACAAAAAGATGCCTAGCTGAAGTACCTATAAAACTTTATTTTTTACTAGCTTTCCGCCCGCGGCTTCGCCCGCGTGGAATTTTGTCTGTCACAGAAAAACTTTATCGCGCGCGTCCCTGTTTCAAAAACCGGGATAAAAACTATCCTATGTTCTTTCCCGGGACTCAAACTATCTCTATGCCAAATTTCATCAAAATCGGTTGCGAGGTTTAAGCGGGAAAGCGTAACAGACAGACAGACAGACAGACAGACAGACAGAGTTACTTTCGCATTTATAATATTAGTTGGGATAGTTGGGATCAAATGAGAATGAACCGGCTTTCAGTGAAACCATGAGCACTTATAGTAATTTTTCAGTTACATGATTTCTGGATCGATAGATCTCTTTTATCTAAAAACTGTTTCAATTTATTTTTACTTCGACTACCTGAATTCATGAATCGATTTCTCAAACCGGATTAACAACACTAGTTTCAAATAATATCAAAGATTTACCTTAATAAATGTGAAATCCCAAATGTTATTTTAACTGTATCCTTATAAAAGTGCCACTAAAATATCGTCTCTTTAATCGATTTGTCATTACACTTCACTAGCACAAAATCAGCACATTTAAACACAAATTTTCACACTTTCACTCACGTTTATGTATCTTTGACTAATATTAGTCAACCTGAATCAAATATTATCGTTTTCTTTGTATTTCTACGGAGTCTGATTACGAACTGATTGTAAAACCTATCGATGTCTACGTTTAAAGATAAGCGAAGAAATGCATTACGATTGGTAATCTTTCGGTTATCGCCATAGAAGCGTTGTTTGATAGTGTTTTGACGATAAAATAACTACAACATTACGTGAAATTATGTATCTGTGTTCCAGTGGTTAAGTGTAGGAATCAAGAGGGATAAGGTTCGATTCCCAAATGGGACACAAAGTGTAAAATCGCCAAGTTGAAAATAGACATGTCAGACGCATTGTAAGCCTAAAGTTAACGTGCACACGGTATAGGAAAAATTGAGCTTTCGATTCCAAGATAGTATTAGGGGTTACGGGGATATGCATAACAATGATTCAATGATTTTGTCAAAACTATCAATCAGTAACTAAAAGCTACAAAGCAGTTTTAATTTTTCACTGTGATATTATGTAGTGTGTAATAAATGATTTTGCAACAAAAATCTAAATGCTATCTGTAGAATCGAAGAAAATCCGATTTTTTTATAGAAAAATAGCACTTATGACAACTAAATAAGAAGCAGTGTTTAGCTTGTACTGGTCAAAGAAATGGCCGACGACAGAGGTAGAACAGGACGCGCGCACCGGAACCGATGCGAGCGCCGACCTTGGCTCTAGAATGCGGAGTTTCTTCGATTTCACGAATTGATGTAAGGGAATACTTAGCCGATATAGGGGCATTCTTCATTAATACGAAACTATAATTCCGGTTTCTGAATAGCGATTTTTAGCTTCATTGTAATTAAAATGTGAAAACCGGGGCTCAACTGCTGCTAGTGGTATGTCTTTACAAAATGTAGCTATGAAGTTTGTAACTTTGATTCGATAATACCAATCGAACCAAGTCTTTTTATAGAGCTGATCCAGAAGAAGCATTTTAATTCGCGTGTTCGTGAAGTAGCTAGGTGCCTAGGTTCATATTCTGTCCACATGTTAGGTGGACAGAGGCTTAAAAAATCTTATGGGAGAAGATATTAGGAGTAAGAAATACCAATTTAATGCGAGAGAAACATTAGGAGTAAGTATGAGTGACGGGACAAAACAGTTGTGATACGAAATAAAATAAATGAAAATAAGGAACACTGTTACAATCCAAAACGCAGCCCTATAAATTAGAGAACAAAGAAATACTCAAAACACAGAAAAATACTCCTAATTACTTCGTTATTTATTAAAAAAAATATTTATTAAAATCCCGATGGCTCTTAAGAACCTAAATGTAGAGTTTCTATCGGACGATGGTACCTATTGTAAACAGATCAATAAGGATAGCATTATCATCTAATTCTATTTATACGCAACCCAAAACATTACTACTCTATAAAAATAACGCAATCGTCAAAATAAACACCAACTGCATTTAAGGTTACATAACAAAACATAACCTTATCCAACGTCCAATTACACAAAACCAATTTGTTCATTTTTTGTTTACCGTGTGAACAATCCACGTCTGATTCAAGGCTACACACCGGACTGGGCAAATAGGTCTAAAGGCCGCCACACATGGTGAAGGCGCTATATTAGGCAACTAGCGGCCGCCCGCGAATTCGTACACATGGATCCCGTTTTACCCCCTTAGGGGTGGAGTTTCGTAAAATCCTTTCTTAGCAGATGCCTACGTCATAACATCTACCTGCATGCCAAAATTCAGCCCGATCCGTCCAGTGGTTTGGGCTGTGCGTTGTTAGATCACTATGTCAGTCACCTTTGAGTTATATTATATTTAGATATATTCGAATATCGCTAGCTATTTTAAATGAGACAGCACACTATATTGAGCCATAGATGTTGAGCAAGGCAGAAAAATCGGGAAATTGAGAGAAAATAATACAGTATAGGGTAAATCAAAGACCACTTGATTACATTAAAGAATATCGCTAGCTATTTTAAACGAGACAGCGCACTATATTGAGCGATAGGAAATTGAGAGAAAATAATATCAAAAATATATCAAAAAGACAATAAAAAGTATGAACTTTTGATATTAAATTCATTTTTGAGTAAAAGCACGCTCAAGCTGGAAATCTCAATTCAGAAAACGGGCCTTATTATCTTCATTGGACACTGTACGCGGTTTTCTTTTAAAAATGCTTTTTCACTGGGGGGACTTTTAAAAAGTAAGATTTTATCGATCGAAATAAATAATTCAGTATTTCTTAGGCTTATTTATTAAAACTTACTCGTACCCACGATTGCACAATTTGGAGATGTAAGATTTCGAGTTAATCATGGTTTTCCTTGTTTGTTTGTTTACAATTTATATGTAAATCAAACCGGTAGACCACGTACTATTATGATAATGATCGGGTTTTTATTGTAAGTAAATCTATTTATAGTTTCTTAGCGTATTAATAGTTTAAGGTTACCTATTATTTAAGACAGACAGACAGAATAACAGACAGACATGCTGGTGAGCTACAATAGAATAAAAGAATAGAATAGAATAGGTTTATTAGAGGTTAGAGGACATTCATTGTTGCCTTTGTTCAGTTTCAATTATTTTTCAGTCTCTGTAATTTTTTTACGGAATACCAAGTTAGCTTTATTTTCTCTAAAATAACCTAGCATTCCAAAATAACTAGCTTATTTCTAATACGCCATTGTCAATTTCCATTCCCAAAACTACAGGCAAATCCAATTCCGACTAACAACGTCATCTATATTCAGCGCGGTCTGCATACTGTATAAGTACGTTTGCAATTTGCATTCGTAGTGCAACTGGGATTGTCTTGAGGTCGGCTTATTGATTTGACCTTACAGACCCTAGGTAAGGTAAGGAGGATAAAAATATATCGCGTAAGACTGTGGTACGTGTAGGTTGAGCTTGGGTAATAGAAAAGAGGTCTAAAATTTAAAGATTTTGTGTCCTTCAATATTTTATGTTGGTTTTTAATTCAGAATAAAAACTTGGGTTAATGTATCGAGTATTCGTAAATAGAGTTTTTTTTTAAGGTAAATAAACTGTTTTATGTATTTTACTATTTTCAACATTTGAGACTACATTGGTAACATAAATACTTACCTACTGTATTATTATTGGAGTAAACGCTTCTTTATTTCTTTATAATAATTAATTTAAGGTGAGACCTATCTATGGCAATTTTTTTAATGATAATGCTACCAGCAACTTATCTATGCAGCAACAAATACTAATGTATCTTTCTCCTAATATTTTGACCTAAAAGTTTACTGGTAGAGAATGCCACACGGCATTAAGTTCGCCTTTTGCACCGCAATTTTTGTGTGCTATAAAGATTTTAAATAAAATAGAATAAATAACCATAATGAAGATAACGTAAAGCTAACCGTTAATTAATAATATCTTAAACCGAGAAGTCAATACAACAACGGATACCAAAAAACCCGTGGGCCGTATCCCGTATCTAAGCGTGTTCCGGACAGGACATACAGGTTTTGTTTTTGTTATTTTTATCGCCTCGTCCAACCGAATTACTGACCGATTGACCGCGTGAAACGAAACGGAACGATATTTGTTTAAAAATCGAACTGACAGCTTTCGAAAATGGCGTGCGTTCTAAAAAAAAACAAAGAATTTCGCGGGAAAGTTTTTTATGGCCAGTATTAATAATAAAAAAAGTTAAGCGTTGTCAGTATTAAAATGTGCTCTACATTATCTCAAAAATCGCTTTCAAAAAAACTTTTTAAATGGCAGTTGAATCAATAATTATAAAATGCGATTTATTTTTATTTTAAATAATAATAAATAAATAATATTGTATGAATAAAAATAAATAAAGAGAAAGAAATAAAAAAGCTATTGAAAGCATCCCTGGTGGGGATCGAACCCACGACCTTTGGATTAGAAGTCCAACGCGCTATCCTCTGCGCCACAGGGACTGTGAGCGAAGCGGCGAAATTGTAAAAGACGTCCCATTGACGATACGGTACGCCTACACTCTTACGGTATGACGTCATTAATTAATGTTTTGTTTGATTTTACTGCTTCTGTAATGAAGTATTGATTGTGTTTTGTTCGTAAACGCCACTATGATTTATTTTTAGCTGTGATAAATTCTTATCGGCTGAAAAATACGAAATCACATCTTATTAAATGTAACGTAAAAGTAAGAGTTAGACTGACGCAATGTTTTTTAAATCAGTTATAAAGTACACTAGTCCAGTCATTTAAGCTTAAATTAGGTAAGAATCTCGGAATTAGAGATACCCAGCTGTAAGTCTGTAAATACTTGTATATTGACACCCTAAAAGTTGTCTCAACACCTACATATGGTAGGGTGTNGGACTAACACAGTTTAAATTAGGTAGCAATTTAAAATTTCGGAACAGTAACTACACTGGACCGCAAAAAAAGGGTCGGTTACAAAATCTTCAATCAAGCACGTGCCCTTAGTTTTATGAAATAGACTAAATTAATTCAAGTTTTTATTTCAGAACTTTTTCCAGGTACTTTTGAATATTATATAGAAGACTAGCTTTCCGCCCGCGGCTTCGCCCGCGTGGATTTTTTCTGTCACATGAAGACTTTATCGCACGCGTCCCTGTATCAAAAACCGGGATAAAAACTATCCTATGTCCTTTCCCGGGACTCAAACTATCTCTATGCCAAATTTCATCAAAATCGGTTCAGTGGTTTAGGCGTGAAATCAAGACAGACAGACAGACAGATCGAGTTACTTTCGCATTAAAATATTAGCACGATATTAGTATAGAAGTATAGATTTTCTAACCGACCCTTTTTCTTTGCGGTCCAGTGTATAATGGCCACAGAATAAAAACTAAGTACCAGTAGTACCGATATAGCGTGTAAGTGGCGTAAGTATTGATCTTCAATCAAAGTTTGGATCTACCCACATTACCCAATGTGAAAATACCTTATGGGTTCAAGCAATTCGTTTTTACTTCTCAAATCACGCGTATCTTGTAACAATCGGATTGCATGGCCTACATTCGTTTTGCGCAAGATTCACGTAACGTGCGCTCGCGCATCAATGGAGAATTAACG